TCCTGATATGTAAAACCATAGAACTCAAAGAGGGTGTACTTTCTTTTTCACACAACTGTACGTGATATGAGATTTACTATTGTTACCTCTATTTATTACTACTGTATATGCACATTCTAGACTGCCAAAAATATGAAAAAAGGCAGGTTGTTCCAATGTTAGATGTAACAATTAGGCCACATCTTTTCCACACACCATTAAGCAGGTGTGATGCTTTTCTGATCAGGCTCTGGAACTAGGATTCTAATGGCAACTTTTTCTGATTGATTGCTTTCCAGAAAACCATTACAGAGGTCGCAGAGGCTTATGGATACAAAATTTACAGCAGGCTTCTAAAGGTAATTGAACAATTCTTTTTCAGTTTCAGTAAAGTTTAGTTTTATTTAGTACATGAAATGAAACATAAGTGAAGTCTTCCTTGAGTTGAGCTTGACTATTGGTGATTTCATGGACACATTCATGTAATTTTCTTGACAAGGGTATGGAAGTGGCTTGCTGTTATCTTCTTCCAATTTTTTTTTTTAAAAAAACTTCCAAATCTGGCTTAGAGCCCTGCAGTTTCCTAGTAGTCTCACATCCAAATCTTAACCATCGTCTGCTTAGCTTTTTAAGGTTAGTCAAAGCTGGCTACTGTACCTGCTGCCATCTAGTCAGGTTCATAATAAAACCCATATGTCAAAAAATACAAAACAATATACTTTTCAAATTTAGTTCAACGTGTATTTCAACAGTGGGATTTGAATTCTGATTAATTGGATAATGCTTGAACTTTTAACAGACTTCAGCTCTGAACTGAGAAAATGTATCTTCTGCACTCACGGGCTACAGACACAAGGACTGTTGGAGATGATATAATCTCTTTGCACATATCAGTGCAAAGTGGGGGAAGGATCTTCACTTGCTGTCCTGGATCTGTTTCTCCTTTGGCCTATTGTTAGTTAAGAGAGTCTGTATATGTAACAGAAAAAGGGAACTTCTTGTCTCTCTTCTTCTCTTGTACTTCCCTCTTTTCAAGATGTAGTTGAGATAGAAGTGAGGCTTTTCTACCCTGGTGTATTTCTTAGTAAATCTACTCTTCACTTCAAAGGCAATGAATGTGTGTTAGCATTCATTGATAGCTGGGCTAAGCCCCTGCTCTGCATCTAAGACAACTATAGTATGAGCTTTTTATTCTTAATGAGACATTCTTCTATTTCCTTAGAATTTTTCAGCACTCTGCTCTTGTTCAGGTGTATATCCTCTCACAAGGTCGCCTGATGAATTCAAATCTCCCAACAAGTACTTGTTCCTTGCAGAACTCTTTTCTGACCCATTGTTGAAACATGGAACTCTAAAGGCTTCATAGCTGATAATGTTCCTCCAAGAACTTTTCAGGACCCTAAACCTATCCTAAAAGTGGGCAAAAAGTCAATTGGAATTTACTGGTACATGTTTGGGTGATTTGCAATAGATTGGAAAGGCTCCCAAATCCCAATGTTCTGACAATAGCAAAAGTATAAATTTTTTCTCCTTGAAAAACAACCATTCTTTGAAATTCTGGTTTCTCTGTATCAATTGGGTGTGGGTGTGTGTAATTTTCTTCAAACATGCCCTTGCCCTTTTAGGTATTTACAGGATCATTGCCAGGTCTGTCTGTCTGTCTGTCTGTCTGTCTATCTATCTATCTATCTATCTATCTATCTATCTATCTATCTATCTATCTATCTATCATCGCTCTTTCATTTTGCAGCCAGGCTTTCACAATTGCTGACAAATACAACCTGTAATGTATAAGCAGCCCTAACATAATCACAGCAGGAATTGATGCAACCAACATACAGCATCAATGACTTTTAAGCATGCCAAAAATCAGGAGGAGTATGGTAGCGCTTTTTTAGATTAACACATTTTATTAAAAGGCAGACACTTTTGTGAGCTGCAGCTTGTTTCATCAGATGCAGAAAAACTTTACTCATCTGAAAAAGTGCTACCAAATGTTCTGATTTTGGGCCACAATAGGTCCTTATTCCTGCACGGTTTCCATTGGCTTGAAGGCTGGGCTGAGCATTGCATAGCATATCAAAATCCACTTTTAAAAAACAGACCGAGTTAGGACACAAAGAGAGCCTGCTTTGGGGAAAGTAGGAAATTTTGTAAAGCCTGAAAGGCTGGAGGCATCAGGCATCTGTTTTGCCACTTATCGCTCACCCCAGCCCCGAAACCCTCCAAAACTGGTTTGCCTAATTGAACTCCCAGACTTCTGGAATACATTCAGCATGGAACTTCTTTCCATATAAACCTTGGAACCTTTTGTTGCAGCTCTCCTGTTTCTTCAAGACTGAAGCTTTTGTTTTTTTCCACCAGCTGAGTGACAGTAATTTGTGAATTATCTTAGCTTTGTGATACTTTATTATTCTGTGTCTCTGTGCAGGAAGCAGGACTTCTTAATCTGGTCAATAATACCTTTCATCAGCCATTTACCATGCTGTGGCCAACGGATGCAGCTTTTAATTCTCTTCCTGTTGAGATGCGAAAATGGCTATATCATAAAGACCACAGGAGCAAACTGGTTGCTTATCTCAAAGGACACATGATCTGGGACACAAAGGTAAACCCAGGACTGAAACAATGGAAGCTTTCTAAAGAAGAACTGCTGAACTCAGCTTGGCAGAAAACACACCTTTTCGTGTCCTTTAAAGCCTGACTAGAAATTGCTTTTGATTTAATAAGTAAATTATTCAACCAACATTTTAATTGATAGGATCAAAATCTGACTACAATGTGTTGATGTAATTAGGAAAATTAAAAAAAGAAAAAGGAAACCTTAGCGTAGATGGTATACAGTCGCATTAGAAACACCTTTTCATTTTAACAATGAGTTACTAAATTGCAAGATTTATTTGTTTGTTTGTTTATTTATTTATTTATTTGAGGTATAGATTTAGATGATTGCCCATCTCAAATACATGACTCTGGGCAGTTTACAACATTAAAATAAGAAAAGCATATAAAAAATATAAAACCAATAGCAGGTAGGCAATTATAAACCAACAATCAATATTCAACATAACCACGAGATGGGCTGTATCTCACAAACAGATATAAATTGAAGGTCAAGGTATGTGCATGTTTAGCCAATTAACTGAACGTTTAGTTGTTTGTTTATCTTAATCCAAGCTATTGGAGTCAAGGTTTCTGCAAAGCAGAACATGGCACCAGCTGTGTCTGTGGGGAGGGGAGAGAAGGGATGAGGGATGGAACGTGCATCGTGTCCTGATACAAACCCTGTGATTTACATATCAGAACCTATATTGGAAGGCAGGTATTAAAGGGCAGGGTTTGTACTGTGTGTGTCATCTTTTCTGGGTCATCATCATCGCTTTGGTACCTACAGGTGCCAACTCATTCATTCTACTAAATAACTTGGGGAATTTAAGGTGCACTTACATCACTTGTAAATGAGTTCTGTAAAAACAGAGGGTGTATTTGAAGAGGAAACTAGATATATGCATATCTCTTAAACATGACTTCACATATTTTGAAAAATATGTATAGAATCCATGATACGTCTGTTAAGGAGCAGACTGCCTATCTGAACATTTTTTTTCTCTGATGTTTAATAAAAAAAAAAAACCAGAAGAATAAATTGCCAGGACATTGAGCAAGTATTACGAATTCCTTTTTTTTTTTTTTTTTAACTAGTGCAAGGTAGATGACATATTTGCTCAAAGCGTTGTGGGATTCTTTATCCAAAGGCTGCTCCTCTCACAGCACTTCACATGCTTACGCATTCATCATACCATGGATCTGCTGGGAGGAGAAAACCTAAACTTACTCTCAACAAGATCAGTGGCAGAATTCTTTTGCAGCCTTAAGTGAGAGCCATTCCTAACTGACTTTCTTGAACATTTATCTTCCTACCTGATTCACTGCCGGAAACAGTTACTGTAAGAAACACAGCTTATAATAGCAGAGCACAGAGAGGGAAGGCAAAGAAGAGATGAATTTTCATTCTTTTGGTGAAAATGAAACCTTCCACAACTCCTGTTTATGTAAGAATGAATGAAACCTAAGACACCGCCTCTCCATGTCGATTTTGGCCTTGAATCTTTGGCATATCAATGATTATTTACTGTTCTGTGGTTCTAGGTCTTGGCTTCCAAACTGACAGAATCAGGTTCTCTGAGGACTTTGCATGGCTCACTGATTTCATTTAGCTGCAGCAAAACAAATGCAGTAAGTAAGCACTCCTTTGAACTGAAGTCATAAGAGAGGCAAAATTATCTACAACACTGTCCCTGCCTAAATGGGCTTTCAAAAGGTACAGGTAGTCCTCACTTAGTGACTACCTCTGATAGTGACTGTTCACAGTTACAATGGTGATGAAAAAGTAACTTTGCAACCAATGCACACATTTACGACCTTCACAGTGTCTCTCCCTCTCAGTCAAGTGTTCACCATTACAGTCACCTGTGCCTGACCTGTTCTGTGCTTGACCTGTTTCCCCCACCCCCCACAGAGATTGTGCAATTGTGTGAAGAGATTGTCTAAACAAGTGATCTCTTCCTGAGCTGCTTTTCTCCACAGCAGCACTACCCTAAAAAATGCTAACCACAAGTTAACAAGCTCAGCTCTGTGACCTTAATGAGTTGATGAGAACCCTCTGGCTGGCCACTGCCGTCTGAAATTGACCAGACCCTAATCAGTTTCACACTAAAGGCTTTTGTTTGCCTCCTAAACTGCTCCTGGTTCTCAGCCACAAGCACACTAGAAAAACAGCCAGTGCATTCCTTTCGATGTGTATTCCCTATTGTGTACCTGCTTACTCTCTTGTAAATCCTTCCTCTCCAGTGAATGTATATACAAACATCAATTCCCTTCTTGCTAATTATCCCAGTGCTGGGGTGAGCATTCCGAAGGGCAGGGGAGTGGGGGGAAAGGGCTATAAGATTTGCCCTTTTATCCAGCTTCCTTGTGAGTTGAGTTCCAGAAACTTTCCCCACCATTTGGGCTTACCCGACTGTTTGGCATCATATCCTTCTGATGCTGTAAAGCAAAGGAAAGCTGAAGTAAAAGCACAGGTACAGTCGTGGTCACATGAATTTTCACTTAGTGACCTCTTTGCTTAACAACTGAGTTACCAGTCACAATTGTGGTCACTAAATGAGGACTACCTGTATTGAATTATTGGCGTCAGTATGCATGTACACTAGTGGCTATTCTTCCTGCAAACAGAAAGAGACAGGCTCAACCAATGCAAACTGACTTAAAAAAAAAAATAAAGGCCTTAAAAACCCTTTTCTGGTTAGTTTTAGTGCAAAGAAACATAGTTTTAAAGCAGTTTTGGAACACAACTCAGTAGGCTGAGTTGTGACCTGTGAAAGCAGATATTTATTGTATCCTTTTCTTCACTGTAAGTGGAGTAAGATGCACATCAGAGTTATGTACATCCAGCCCTTAAAAAGACAAAAATATTGTGCCTTTACTAATATTGGATAATAGAGGAGTAGTCCTGAGATACACACACAAAAAGTATACATATAGCTAATCTGGCCTTTAACTGCTGCAGTTCAAATTTAGATCTGAGTACCTCTGTGCTATATTGTATGTGTGTGTTTGCAATAATTTCATTAAAGATTATATTATACAAATAAAACTAGTACAAGTATATAGTATAGAAATACATTTTTTAAAAAATTTAAAAAGTGAAGAGAAAAAAGGAAAGAAAAAGATGTGCTATATTGTGTTTCTGAAGAGGAATCCTCGAAATCAGATTGGCTGAATAGATGAGGTAGCAGAAAACAAGCATATCATAACAGCTACGTTTCTTTCAGAAAAAAATATCAAAATATTTACAGTCCAGATTCTCTGAGAGAAAGAAACATCAGTTTTGATCATAATGACCTAAGTAGGTTTGTGAGTCAAGCTATGGAGTGGGAAGAGAACGCAGCAGTTGCAAGCATTAAGAAGGGTCATTGGAGGTAGTGAACGAAAGAATGGAAAACAGGCATGGGCTGAGACAGCGAATCTGGCAACAAGAAGAGAAGGGCAATCTAAAGGAGCCCATTATTCTAGGAGAAGCTGGAATGAGCTAGAGAAATTGATCAAGAGACAGAATAGCTGGAAGACAGGGGAAGTAGGGTGTGAATAAACATTACAGAAACTTTCTGAATAAATCTTGAAGTAAATATCTGGGACTGTCTGGGAATTCTGGGAGCTGTAGTCCAACAATCTTGAGGGTACCAAATTAGGAAAGGTGGCTGCAATATAGTCAGGAGACAAGGAGAGTGTAGGAACAGACAAGACCATGCAAGATTGATAAAAAAAAGAGGCTACAACTGGGATCTTTGCGTAGGATGTTAAATGTGATTAGCCTTACCTTGTATAGAGTTTATATCTTGTAAATAGAGTACCTTTTTTGCATAAAGTAGGAATGCTCCTAATTTGTGACAAATGAAAGAGATCAAGAAGGTTCAAGAAGCAACAGGTGATAGGGCTGAATTTTGCATATTAGTCTGAACCAAAAGCTCCCGATATTTGTCTCCTGTCTTCTGATTCAGTTTTACTGCTTTGTTGGTTTGCAGGGGGATATTGTGGTGGACAATGGTAATGCAAGGATTGTCCAGAGGTATATGGAATTCAATGTGGGTATTGCTTATGGAACTGACCATCTGCTTGAGCCTCCAGATTTGGGATCCCGTTGTGATGAGTTTCAAACTGCTGAGATTTTAGTGAGCACTTGAGTTTTAAATACCTATGTTTACTGATTTAGATAATTATCTTCATTATTTAATTTCATTAGATTTAATTTCATTTAATTAGATTGATTTAATATCATTAAGGAATCTCTAGACAAAATAGAAGAGATTCAGTTAACTTTCTTATAATGTTGACATTCTAGTGGCAGCTTGTCTGGCTGCTTGGGGACAAATTTCTCCATGGTTTTTTCTTGTTTGTGGGATTTATCTTCCAATATGAGAACTGCTCTTTAAGAAGGCTTCAAAAACACATCTCTTTCTATTGAACTGTACATTTTTAAAAAAATTAACCCTCTCACCAACATGGCAATTTAACACTAATTTAATGTGAGATTCTATAATCTGTGTGTATTCTAATTGCTTTACAAGTTTTAAATTCTAAAACTCAAATAAATATATAATAAAAACACCCCAAAGCATCTCAACATGGGCACAGAGCCCAAAATGTCAGCCCCATTAACCCTGATGCTGTTATCATGCTTTTAGTAGCCAAAGTGCAGTTCTCTGGCCAAAAATGTTGCCTAGCTCTGCCTGCTAATATATTGCAGCCTTTTTGGGAAAGGAAATTCTAACAAATGAAAGTAAAAATGGCTTCTCACATACTTGTCTTTCTTTCCTACTTCCATATAACGTCTTCCCAGAATAATCTGTGTGGCCCTTGTGGCTATGAGAAGCCTTGTCCTTTTGGATCAGTGGAACAGGTAAGCATCCATAGAAAAATGATGAACTGTTTCTGTACATTCACAGTTGACAAGATGTGGATAATAAGCACGTGCCTTTTCCGCTGTGGCGCCTGCCATCTGGAACATCCTCCCTCCTGAGATTAGGATGGCCCTGACCCTTTTGACTTTTCGGAAGGCCTTGAAGACCTGGCTTTATTCCCGGGCCTGGGGCCCTGAGTGTGCAGAGGGCCCCATTTCATGGTTGTGCTGATACCGACATTTTAAGATCTCTTGGCTCTATTGATATTTATATTTAGTTTTCTGTATTGTTTTAAGTGTTTGATTGTTTTTATTATTGTTAGCTGCC